CTGGATTTCGGCCGTGAACGACAACGAGGAGGCCGAGCTCGTCCACTCGGTCTCCTACGGCAACGACGAGGCCCAGCAAGTCTCGGAGGAATACATGCAGAGCGTCAACACGGAGTTTATGAAAGCGGCAGCGCGAGGATTGAGCATCTTTGTCGCCTCGGGCGACCAGGGTGTGTATGGACGCGAGGGACCCGGGAATAATGTCTTTCATCCGGACTTTCCTGCCTCCTCTCCTTGGGTGACGAGCGTGGGGGGGACTGATTTCGTGACACCCTCAGTGACGGGTGAGGAGCAAGCCTGGTGAGTGTTTCGAGGTAGAGAGAGAGGAGATCGTGAGCCCCTCCCTGCATCGTTTACCTTGAGGGGCGACTGATCCGCCGTGTCGGAATGAAAGGCGGAGCGATGGCTGCATCCTCCCTGTGTGCCGTGGTTGCGCTTCGCTTCGGCTTGAGACGCCCGTCCTTCCTTTCCTCTTTCGATTTTATTTCCCTTTTCTACCAGGGACGGCTCAGGAGGCGGGTTTAGTAACACCTTCCCTGTGGCTTCCTGGCAAGCGGCGGCTGTGGCTCAATACAAGATGACCGCCGCCGACACCTTGCCCCCCTCATTTCTCTGGAACGCGAGCGGCCGCGGCTACCCGGATGTCAGCTGCTTGGGAGGAAGTGTGAACCCATACTGCGTGAGTGCAGATGTTGGGGAGTTGGCTGGCGTGTGGGGCACTTCGGCCAGCACACCCGTGGTGGCAGGCATATTTGCTCAGCTGAACAACGTTCGATTGACGGCGAAGATGCCTCCGATGGGCTTTGTGAACCCGTTCTTGTATCAGAACATGGACTGTTTTTTTGACGTGAAGCAGGGGGTCAACGACGGAGGGTACAACTGGGGTTTTGCAGCCGTGGAGGGCTGGGACCCGGCGACAGGGGTTGGGACGCCAAATTACGCGAAACTGAAGGAGCGAGTTCTGATGGTGTAAAGCATGGGGCAAGGGCCAAGTTGATAGCAAGAAGTAAATGCGAAAAATGACCGTCAGGAGTGTAAATGAGAGGTATACGGTTGTGAGGAAACGGAATGTAAGAGAGGGTTAACTTGAGCGTCGGAATTCCGTACACTGCGAATCGGGAAGAGGCATGACAGGCAATGACACCGTCATTAAGGGAAACTGTATCCCTGCGCTATCAGGAGCGATCAGATTCTAGGTGAGAGTAAAGCCTAGTCAGGCAAAAAGGAAGCACAGAGGAAAGTGTACTTTATCGGCCACCTCGATGTGTCAGACATTAATTAAGACAAAGAAAGAAATCGGCCCGCCATCAATTCTTTCCATATGGTACTTTGTTTGAGCTTTCTGCACGTATTCTCCACATCAGTCTGTTGTGGTCACACAAAGAAAATATTTTCTATTGTGATAGGCTGCATTTATCGTGGTAACATATCTACTGTGGCGGCCTTTGTGACCGCCACCCCTTCCTGCGCACGGGGGTTGTCACCCAATCACAGAAAAGGATTCTTAACATGATTCCCAAGCACCTACCGTTTTATTCTCCCTTGAATTCTTTCATACACACAGCACTTGACGAGATAGCTAGAAATAGAAATTCCGCTCCAATTTATGGTCGCATGCAAGCTGGGAGGCGCGAAGCAGCGTGCTGTTGGAAAAGGCTCTCCGCCTTCAGCTCTTTTCATCGCACTTCCCTGATGCAGAGGTGATATCCGGAGACAAAGCCTGCAAACTTAAAATACATTGGTACTTAAGCGTACGAGTCCTGAGAGTTGTTAGTACGTCTACAGGCGGAAACCCTCTAAATACAGGCCGTCGTAGGCCAGCTCCACCATCGGGTATCCCATCTCGTCCTGGATTACTCGGTTCGCCTCGTCGTGGTCTCCAATCCCACACCCCATTCCCACCAGCCAAACTTTCTCTGGCTTCAACTCGTCGATCCATTCACGGACTTCTTCGAAGGCCGCGTGAGCAAAGTTGCCCGCCCTCATTTTCAGACAGTCCACCACCAGTGTCTTGATTCTGGGAAGATCTTTCAGATATTGCATCGTCTCCGGCGGAATCTCTTTCACGTCGGACAAGTAGATAAATTCTCCGGGCGGCCCCACCGCGAAACCTAAACAGATGTAGTCCCCTCCGTGGAGGACAGGCAAAGCGCGGACAGGAACTCCATCCACGGCACTCGACTCTATCACTGCGTTGGGCTCGATCACGTTGAACTTAAGGTAGGAAATTGGCCGTTCCAAGACACCCTTCGCCTCGTCCAGATACACGGGAGGGTTTGTCAGGTAGTCGAAGCGGAGGCGGACGGCCTGCATGGTCGCTTCGTGCAGAAAGACGTTGATCGGCCCTGACGGAAACCTCACGCCCGGGTCCACGTGCTCGTACAGTTGCAGGTCTCGTAAATCGTCCATGCCCAAGATGGCATCTGCATGTCCGTGCGTGAGAAGTAAACTCCCGATTTCTTGCAGCCCAAAGCGAGGAAAGAGGTTTAGGGCAACCTCTCGGAAGGTTTTACCGCAGTCGATGAGGGCGGTTATTCGTGGCGTTTGGCCTCGTGACGTGGAGTTTCGTCGTTTTATTATTGCACAGGATACATTGTTCCGCCTGTGGACGGAGGCTTAAAATTAGTCATAGATTTGAGGGGGGATTGCGGCACACCCAGCCGTACAGGAGGTGTCTCATTAATCTGCTTGCACCTATACATGTCTTAAACTCGGCCGCTTTACACAATTTCTAGATACCCCACCCAACATACTTGTTTTTGGATCCCGCTTTTAGTAAAGCGTCATCGCACACCTTGCACGTCCCCCGCACAGCATGCTTAAGCAACGGCACTGAGCTCGACTGCCCGGTCCCTGTGAAACAAACGTCGAAGACCCACTCGTCTGTATCCGTGCTTGCACCCGCAACCATCGCTAATCGTCCCGAACGACCACCCTGATAAATGCGCTTGCCACCTAAACGTCGTGAAGGGCGGAGGAAACCTAGTCCGGAGCCAAGCGGCCAAGCCTCTCTGCCGTGTCCAAGCCCGCTGACGATTGCGTGCGCTGCAGCGACGGGAAATAGGGAGCCCACGAAGAAAAACAAAAATGGCAAGCTGACAATGTATGCTCTTGACATGAAGTCAAAAGACATGCGTCGATTTGAAAAGATAAAACCTGCTTGATGATGGTCAAATTTCAGATGCGTCGATCCAAGCTAATTTTCATCGTTGTTGATCTTGCTCGTCAGCGAGGCACGATGAGTCCTCCTGCATGTGATGCAAGGTGAACCTTTGTTTACTGGACATTGTCACTCTTGAACTCACACCCACGGGAAAACAACTTTCAAAAACCAGCCATGGAACCGTGCGAAGGAACCCGGGCCGCGTACGACCTTTTGATTGAGTGGCGGAAAAGTCTTACAAGCCACTTGTCAGAGGGGTCGATGGTGCGTCAGATAGTTGAGAAAGGTTTGCAAGAAACTGAAGCTTTACTTGACAAAGTGAGACAAGCCGGAGAGATGCGCAAGCAGATTGATGGGTTGCCTGCAGGTGTCGTCAAAGATCACATGAGCAATGCTTTAGCCGAACTTGAGAGAGAGCTTGCAGCCACAGTAGCCGGGCAGGAAGTCAAAGAGAAGAGCAAAATGAAAGGAGAGGCTGGAATAGCAGATACGTCAGAGAATAGCGCAAATACCACCGCAGCCGAAGCTGGTGATAAGACGTATCAAATGATGGTGGAGCAACTGGTACAAACTGGCAACAGCGTTCTTGTTAAAGGTCGAAAGGATGCGTTGGCCTTAGCAGTGCACTTAGTCCTGCTCGGGAGGGGGTTCCTGTGCTACGCTGAAGAGGAAGAGAAAGGCGGGCCCACAGGCTTTGCACCCCCCATTCGACCCATTCCTCCATCGCGGATGGTCCCGTCACGCTGGAACGACGATCCAACGAACATTTGCTTGGCATACCGCCATGCCGGTCTGGGGGACCGTGAGGTCCAGCTCAAGGTTCTATGGATGGACGAGGAACGCGTTGTTGTCGAGCTGAAAGATTGCGGCAGTGGTGGAAAGATCGCAACCATGGCGCTCCATGGGCCGGATTTTGTGAAAAGCGAGGGCGTCGGCAGCAAAGACACAGATCCGGGTATCAAACGGACGAATCCTTTGGCCCATTTTCAGCGCCATATGAACCCCCTTGCGGCCTCACTCTATGCGGGAATCGTCAACAAGCTGGTTCCACCACCATCGGAAGAGTATACTCCCAGTGGTGCTCTCCCTCCTTCGCAGTCGGACGTACCCCGACCAGGCAGTAGGCCACCCTTCCAGGGAGAGCGACCTTTCGACATCCCTGTGCCCAACCCGTTAGGCCCGATGGCGCCGCCGGGATATGCGGGGTATGGACGGCGTGGAGGAGACTTGGTGCCCGATTTTGAGGGGGACCTGCGGCCGGGAGGGGGATGGGGGGGGCCAGGAGGAGGGAATTTGATGGGCCCAGACCACCCTATGTT